CGAAAAAAAATGCAATGTCAGGACTTAATTTTAACTGAACCAACCATTAACTTTGTTCTTCATTCCTATTTCTGAGCTATTTTATGTTCAACTTCCACAGAGGTATATTAGGTACCCCTCTTCAGGAATTTATTGCCTTGCTGTACTACGTCACTTCAAATCTACTTAAAAAGCTTATCTCTCTTACAGATTCACAAGTATGTATTCAAATTGGGCAACCACTGCAGCTGGCCAATCAAAACTGATGGGGTGGCCATCATGTCACCTGCTTAATCAGTCGGCAAAAACCAACCATGACGCAGCACTTGAAAACGTTAGGTCAGAGTAGAATTGGCTAATGCGTATTTGTTTCATTGCAAATCGTTTCGATATGTGTCTAACATTCAATCTAAGTGGGATCCGACCGAGAGAATGGAGCTGAGGTCGTCAATTTAATCTTTGTCACTCATTTTTCATGAGCTGTAAACCCATCCACATCCCCCATCCCTAAAAACCCCCATTCGGTGAATCGCAGTACTCGTTTGAATACGAAAACCTAATTGATTCGGTTCATTCAGATTTGATTGAATTTCTGTGTTTTAGGAAATATTTGCTAAGACAATTTCTGTTTATTTCTTAGTGAAATTAATCTCATCCACGCACAACTGATCATTACTGTTGAAGATCGCGAAGGCGGCCGAAAACATATATGAACGAAAATGACACCGATCTGCGTTTCTTTATTAGGAAAGGAAGTTCGCTTATATTGCAAAACTATCACATTTGATACCCATTAACATACATAGATACCTGTTCTTCTTATCTGAGTGATTGTCCGATACAATATTAATATCACCGTTGAAAAAGCTGCTCTTGCCTGACAGACAAAGACTGCACAAGATCAATACAGAATATAATTACTTTTGCAGCAACCATTGTAAGATAAATTGATGCAGTCATAATACAGTTTTCGTCAATAAAAACAACATTTACAGACATTTGCCTTCCTTCGCATTAAATAACAATGAATAAATCATTTTTAAGGGATTATAACTTTGCCGTGAATACGTTATCATTCTCATCAGTGCTTTGCCTTTAACTTGACGAATGGCATCACTGTGAAACATCTGTAAAGAGAATTTTTATTCCCTGTGCTCACACATAACAAATATTACCGAGATGACTGTTCGCGTAGCGTACCTACAAGAACCAATATGAACCCAATCACTTTTAAGTAGCTACAATAATTATAGACTTCGATTATTACATACATGACCTGGGGTACAAACTTAGTTCGTTTGGTTAATGAACATTAGTAAGTCCAAACAGATCACTGACCACGCCTTCAGCACAGTGAAGACTTCAGTTACAATCGAAGGGACAACGAGTTCATGGCTCACTGTTTAAATTAAAAAGATTCTCAGCAGCACCCAAGCCTGCAGTTAGGTGATAATGTCTGATAAGCCATAAAAGGGGTAACAATTTTAAAAAAATGTAGAAGAATTTGAAGAAATACTTAGAGATCAATGAGTACTGCTTATAAACGCTTAATTATTGCCGATATATGATTCACTGCCCTTAAAAGTGAATATATTCAGAAGCCAAATGTTTGCAATAGATTGAGGAGAGGTACTACTAACCACTGACTGGAATATACAGAAAAATAAGGTCCGCGTTACTGTTGCCGAGACAATTGGTTTTGTTATATATGTTAACGTTCGTTCAAAACTACCTACTAGCAGACATCAGTCACTGAAATTTTTTTCCAAATATTTAACATCAAGATGCAAAAAAAGCTGGTGAATCGAGCGATCGCTAATTACGACAGTTGGACTAAATATTTCATAATATCAGTTAGCGTAAAAAATCGCCAAATATTTCATGTAATTCGACCAAAACAATAGTCGGAAAGACTTGATATCAGCTATTAAATTAGCAATTATTTCGCACGTTACTGAACGCTAACTGCACCATTAAGAAGATCTTTCGAGCACATTAAGGGCGTAAACAAATTTAGAAACATTTCCAGGTGGTCAGCAGCATCGGGACTGAAGTACAGCTGCTGTAAAATATAACTAGCTAGAACATCAAAGAAGAGGCAGGTTGATTATATTTGTGGTAAGGGGCATTTACGTCAAACAGTTTCTATTATTTATCCCAAGTAAACTTTTATAATTTTGCAGGTTCAACCGAACATAACATTAGGTAGGAAAATTTTCCATAATTACGACGGAAGCCTTATTCTTTAACGTAATGATAATACCATTAGATTCTAGGCAAGATTCTAGGTTAAATTTCTGTATTAATTTTCCTCAGTTAATAAGCGTGCAGAATACTGTCCAGTAATGCATGTAAACTGCAGTGGAATGGACAATGCAGCAAATTGCTATCAAAATATTGTTAAAAAAAGACTACACTTCGCTTTTAAGAAGCATCAGTGAGAGTTATTGTTTTCTTCTTCTTTGAAATTACTGAGTTCCCTGACTAATTTGCTTTCTTTGACCATTTTTAGATTACTTTCTTATTTGTATATAATTGAACAGTACCAACTTGTCGGTAATTTGGAAATTTCGAAATCCGCGCTGATTACTGTAACTAAATGTACGAGTACCTAAACAATGTCAAGGTTATACACTGTATAACTATAAGGTTCGAAAACTGCAAGTTCATATACAGGCACTATTATCCTACGATATTGTAGCAGTTTCGCTCAAGGGTACTTCAGGCAGACTTAAGACTATCATAAGCCGGATGCAGAAGGAAGACGAACAAATTGTTAATGCTCTTAATATTGATAGGTGAAGTCGTTCACGATATCGGCGAATAGAACATGCTGAATATCTTTTTGACCATGTACCAGAATGTGCATATATGGACGCAAAGCACCATTTAAAGGTTTTTATCGGATATCTAAG